AAAAATTTAGATGACATTTCAAACCCTTCAAACGCTGCTTTCTGATTCCTTTCTACCTCACGTCCCTCCTGTCACCCTTTACCGCCCTCAAAACCACCCCTTGAATCTATTTTGTGAGACAGTAATTGTAGCCTCTATAGTTTTGACGACGATTCTCACCTTGATTGTGGCAACTGGTACCTGTGAAAGAAAACACATTGAATAAAGATAAGTTGTAGCCTCACCACGAAAATCTCTCATTCTACCAGTCAGGAGAACAAAATTAAGAAAAATCGATGTACCATTTGTTTACTCCAAACGACATAGCCTGAAGCCTTCTCACTCCCTTTCAAGGCCGTAAAAGCATATCTGATGTGGTGCTAGATTTTCAAGAGCTTTTATAACAAACGCATAGAAAGAGAGGAATACCGGACTTTAAACATTGCCCGCTCTGCACTTTTGCCTCTATGGCTACAATCACCATCGTTATTTTCATCGGCGTTGCCGCCTTCCTCGTTATTGTAAATTATCACAATTATTTCAATCATGATCATGGTCATCGTCATCATCCTCGTCGTAATCGCTGTCTTCATCGTCGCCTACCGGTGTTATGGTCTTCTTTGTCTCCTGTGACTTAAAAGTTATCATTAGTGTTATTATTTATCATCTTGCTCACCTTCTTTTTAAGTATCTTTTTCCATTCACGGGTAAATTTCCCCTTTATATCGCGTCCTCCAAGAGCCTCCGTGTATGCCTCCATACATTCTTTGATTTTGCCTGGCCCATCCACGCTGTCCATTGTTTCAATTGCTTCTTTAAACTTGTGTTGAAGTTTGTTAACCTTGCTGCAAAATTCTTCTACGTCCTCATCTTCTTCGTCTTCGTCTTCGAGGTATTCTTCAACGAGGGCTTTGGTGTTTCGAAGATCATCAAAACGGTTTTCCAGATCCTCTATATCGCAGGTCAAAGCCTGCTGTTGTATGTGCGCCTTAACATTTGGAATAACGTTATTCACCGGCTGAAGCTCAAACTGCAAATAAGCAAAGAACTCTGTAACGACTCATATGCCCGAGAACACCACTTCATTTTCAATTGTTAAGAATCTCTTACTGTGCAATAGAATGCTCCAAATATGTTCTCAGAGAGACAAATTTGAGAGAATTTATATATTTCCAAAATTGTCTAGGAGAAGCATATTATTAAGAAAAATGGATTAAGGTCAGTACCAGAGCAATGTGCACCTACCCCTCCCCTAACACAATAACAGTCAACTAATAACAAGCTATGGCTATTGTTTAGGGAGGGGTAGGTGCGCAGTTGCTCAGATACTTACATTGATCTCGTTACCTCGTTAGAAGACTCTACGACCCCATATTTAGAAAAAAATATCAAATTTAATTTAGAATTAATGATGATAATTGATCAGTCCGGGTCATAGACAGTTTTGTCTGTACAATGACGTCATGAAACATGGCGTCACTGTCCAATTTTTAAAAACTTAGGCAAATCTCACATTTTAGTCCTGCATTTTTGTCTCGGATATCTATGGCTCTCGGGACCCATTTCACTTGATATTGCACCGAAAGAGCTGGCGTCGGTTGATATGTGTGAGAGAAATCACAATTTCAAGTCGAGCTGCGATAACCTATTTGGGAGGGTTGAGGACACACATGCCATCAGTATCATGTCAATTCGAGGTTTTTGCAATTTTTTTGGAAGCAAGAAAAATATCACGGAAAACCTCAATATATGTGCTTCGCATTTATTAAAACAGAAGTCGAGTGCACGTTTGTTTAGTCCGAGTGCTCGGCCGTTGTTGTTGTGATTCGTTGTCTTAGTCCGTCATGGCGTCATGGCTTCAGCAGTTATCGATTTTCTCTGTATTCCGGTCCTTTTGTCTTCGTTTCAGCTCATGGATGATGATATCTCCTTAAGAACAGTGTATTGACTTTGTGATAAAGTACGGTCAGGTAAGATGGTCTGGCAAAAGCTTATTCAAAACTTAGCTTTCGATCAGGACTCTGAGGAAATTCATCCCAAGAAATTGTAGATGAGTATTCGGTAAATATGTTTTTTCATCGGTCGCTACCCTCCACGAGGTGTCTTTTAGACATCTAACCGGAAAGGGATAGAATCTCATGATTTTTTGGGGGATATTTCATCGTGAACAAGACTACCCTTGTGTGAAAAATCTGGAGGGCGCCCCTCAAATCAAGCAAATAAACAACTGGCGGCTAAGGCTAGTCTAAGTGTGTTCCCTTAAATTCTTACAGAACTACCTCATTCATATGGAAACTGCCGATGAGATTGAAGTAAACATGTTATTTCATCAGTCGGTACCTTCCACGAGGTGTCTCACCGGAAACAGATAGAATTTTAGTAAATACGTGTACGTGCGACACATAGCGGGGCGCGAGAATAGAGGTGACATGTCTGTCGCAAATAAGATTTGTTGTAATACGGATATAAATAAGTCAATGTTGGCTCTTGAAATTTTTTCAATTCTGTTCTGCCTTCGCATAGCCGCCAGGAGAAAGATAGCAAGATAAAGCGTTCTAGACCAGTAATATCAACGGAAATGATATAGACAAAACTGTCTATGGCCCGGACTGTTGATTGAAAGTCTATTATGGTGAAGTTCGGATATAACGCGTACTCTAATTTGTAGATATGTCCGACCATTTCCCGAACTTCTCTCTAGCTTTTCTCCGTTGAGCGACTCACAAGTCTTGCATGACCTGTAAGACGAATATAAAACGAGCTCTAGGCTCCGATTGATGCAAAGCAACCTGTAGGTAACAACTCAAATTACACGGAGATAGATGATGAATTTCGAAAAAGGCGAGTAGGAAAGTAGTAACAGAAGAACTAAACAAAGGTTCGTAAACATGCCAAGCCAAAAGTGATGAAATCATAACTTGTGTGGTGACAAAAATCACTAAAGACAAAACGGAGTGGACTGTCCTAGGTTTGAAGGTTTCCACGCTCACTTGGATTGTCATAAGCTTAAGTACGTACAGTAATTAAAATACGTCTCGCGTTTCCCCCTACACTTCTTTTGTGCTCTAGTCGCTTCCTACGGCTTTACAACAGAGCACAATGAAGGCTTCTCTGTTAAATAAAATGCCAGATATGTTCAGTTAACTCTATCTATATGTGGAAATCTTACCTGCATAGGAATTCCTTTACCGTTATTAATACTCTTCAGTCGGGAAGGGAAATTCTCAATCAGTGACATAAGTTCCTTCATTGTGGTTGGCAGTTGGTCTGGTACGTCGGTGGCGCAATATCTGATGGAGATGTCGGATACATCGTCGCATTCTTCTGACAGTTTTTCTAACGCAGCCTTAAGTCCTACATCGGCACCAACCCCAACATCTAGTTTTCCTTCAGCACTTCCTTTTATTTGGTTCCTATATATATAGATACAGAAAAAGTGCAATTTCTGATCGCGTTGCTAACTTAATTCAACATGCAATTGACTGCCAGGAATTCTCTTATGGTATATTTTTGGATTGAAGATTGGTTCATCTCTTATCTTATCAATATGTGTCCTTGAGGCAAACTGAGTCTGAACCTGAACCTGAACCTGTCTCTTGTGGTGTTCCTCAAGGCTCAGTTCTAGGCCCTCTATTATCTCTTGTATATATCAATGATTTCAGTAACTGCTCTGAAATTCTAGATTTTCATTTATTTGCGGATGATGCCAATCTATTTTATAAACACAAAAATCTTAAAGTCCTTGAATTCAAAGTAAACAATGAACTAGTAAATATTCATACTTGGTTGAGTGCTGACAAACTTTCAGTTAATATTGATAAGTTGAAATTTGTTATTTTCTACCCTCCGCAAAGAAAGTTACCTTTACATGTCACACTCTCTTTAGATGGCATTAACGTAAACCAAGAGTACTCAATAAAATATCTAGTTATTGCAATAGATTGTAATTTATCTTTGAAAAGTCAAGTAAGCTGTAATGCTAAAATGTTTAAACGAAATATTGGGATTCTTTCTAAACTTCGTTATTATGTGAAATCAGATATTCTAGTTAAACTATAGTATGCGTTAATAATAACCTACGGTTTAATTTTTTTGGGTAACACCTATTCTTCAACTACCCAGCCTTTGTTCATTTCACAAAAGAGAGCAATACGAGTGATAACTTTCTCTAAATTTCACGAGCATTCCGGTCCGATTTTCAAATGCTTAATTGTTGTTAAACTGCCTGACCTTGCCTTTCTTAATATCGCAGCCTTTATGTATTAATTTCACAATAGACGTCTACCATCAGTGTTTGATGCTCTCTTCACACGAGTCAATAAAAGACATAATTATAATACAAGAAGTGTCTCGAATATGTTCTATACTTACTTACTTGTATTCTTACTGGCAGTTGTGTTGTTTCCCAAATTAGCTGTAAATTAGTCTTTTGTTCAATTCTGTCACCTTTACAAGTTCTTATATTGATGTTTTGTATTCATTTATAAATTTAGCTATTTTAGACTTCCTTCATGTAGGAATAGCGTTTTCCCTCTTTTCCCTTTTTGTTTTCTTTTTCTTTTTATGGGTGCATTTGTGCTTCAGTTTCCTTGCTGACCTGTAGTTTAATTTTATTTAATGCTGATGTCAACTGGCTGCCTGGCTCCGCTAACCTCCATGGTTATTCCAGGCAGCCAGTACTCTAATTCGTACTTTTAATATTTTCACTGTTGCAATTTATTTTTGAGCAAGAATAAGTAAAAAATAAACATTGATTGTTTAGGACGATAGTTTTATCATTATGAAATTCAAACTTGCCGCCGGAAGCTTCAAGCTTTTGGGTGAGAACTCGTGTCTATAAGGGCAAAAGTAGCCTCTGAAAACAGAATTACTTGTTACTATTTTCATTCTAAAAATAGCTCGTTCTTTAGAGTAAATATCATTGTTGGGCGTACCCTGATGACTGTGATGATGACTCGAATGTCAGGTTGGCAACCATTTCGGCTCCATACGTAACACTTCTTACGTAGTGAGTACCAAGTGAATGAAGAAATTCACTGCTGCTAACGTCATCTCTAACTTTCAATGAACCTTCGATTGTCTCAACAAGCTGAGGGATTGACATAATAAACATCGTTAATTTTGGCATATCTTCGAGTATTTCATGTCCAAAGCTCATCTTTAATATAGCTGTGTAGTAACATTTTCAAACTGGGAAAAGTATTAGCTTTGCCCTTTAGATCCTAACATCAGTATGCATTCTCTCCACACTATTTGGCACATCTGCGAGTATTTGATCAATTCTCAAGTCTGATCAACAATATTTGAACTAGTCTCAATATGCAATCCTTTGATATTTTATTCCAGATCTCCCTTCTTCATTAGCTTATACTCAAACGTTTGGTTTTCTTGAAAAAAAGATGTATGGTTATCTAGTCTTCATTCTCCCTACCTATGAGGCTCGTCAGTGTTTAAATACACTTCTCTGTAATTGAGACCGTTCTCCGTTATATATATATATTAAATAGCTTTACCCTTAGGCAAATTGTTTTTCGTATTAGTAATGAGGCGAGGGCCTCTGCAAGGACTTTTCGCTCCTTCTTAGCAAAAACCAGAAACGAACCAAGACAGATTTTATGTTGGCTAGTAACAGAGATTTAATCGACAATATTACAATAGGACTAATGCAGCGACCGTGAGCCAAGAGATTATAATTGACTTAACCAAGGGCAAGGTTGGTTTGGTTATAAATATTTATTCATTGCAATTTTTAAAAGCTTTGGCATAGCCGAAGATTTAAAAATGTCGGCATAGGGATTTCAAGGAAAAAACATACATTACCGTAGTACATTTCATGACTGCCAGAAGTTTCGTCCTTCCTTCTTGGACTTTGTTCTCTTTAACATACTGCCCTGCTCCTTCCACTTTCAGCAGATTGGCTTTGATTTGTAAGGACAGCTTACCAGATATGTCCAGTAAGTTATTGACATCTTGGCTACTTTTTACTACTTGGTACTTAAAGGAGAATTTGTTGATGTTCATTAATTTAGTTGGTATATCATTACTTGATGAGGGGATGTCCGCGCGTGCGCTCAATGTTTTCCTGTCAAACGTCCTCCCGAGGATCAAAATAGATGAAACGTAGGCTGGAATGTTCATTATCTGTAAGAGATGAATGAACGAGAGAAATTTGATTACTTATTGTACATGGTTGTTCCTTTAGTAAAATATTCTCGTAACCGAATTCACGTGTATTTGTACTCTTTTATTTATTTGAAGCATTTACATTTACGCTTATTATAATACACATGAGGTGGGGAAATGTATACAAGAGAAGGAAAACTTACAAATAAATTCACAATAGAGAAAAAGCGGCTTAATCTTAACAAAAAACGAAATGACGCCAATGGAAAATGAGCAAAACCAAAGAAGATTACACTTATACGAAAAATTGCTCGTGATAAATTAAGTAATTTATACAACCTTAAATTCTTATTTTATTAGCATGTCCTTACTCAGCACTTTATAGATAATATGTACATATTTTCCTTCGCATCAAACCATCAACATCACAATACTATCCGCTTTCCAAGTGCTTTACAACAGAGCACAGTCAAGGAGCCTTTATTCGTTTTACATTAGAGAATTTGTCAAATTCCCCTCTCATTACTCTCTATATTCAAAACAAATTATAATTTTCGAAGCGAAGAAAAGTGTCGTCCGTATGTTCTGTACACTCATAAAACACGATAAAATAAGCCAATCAAAATCCTTGTCCAAAGGAATTCGCAGTATGCAAATAAGTGCAGCAACTTCCCGCGGCAACCCACCGCAATTCAAAACCGGCCAAGCCAAGTGTGCTTGGTAAATTCGCAAGAGCAAAATGCAAGTGTTTTTTCATAGAAAGAAACTTCTCAAGGCGTTTGTGAATGAACGACAGCCGAATTCAGAGGAACATGAAGATTGCTCCGGATGACAGAACCGTAAAACTCGGCTGCTGTGACTGATGCAACCCTGCCACTCAACGCATAGGAAAGGATATCAGAGCAAGCTCTTAGTTATTTGCTCAAATGGCGGACGACGTAATTTCTGAGGCTTGCTTCACTGCGTCGACCAGAGATCGCCCTGATGAGCTAGCTGCGATGGACCTCACTCACGATTACCGTCGCTCCGACACCGTCATGATTTGTATGAATTTTAACAGTTATGCCAGTTTGGTTATATTTTTCATCATTCCTATTTTAAACACAAAACTGTATATATACTATCATAATACGAGTGTTAGCTGCGTTTGAGTTTTATCACCGTATGTAAGCTTCAATCTAACTGAGTGTGAAAACCTTCAAAACTCGGAGTGGTTATTTTGTTTTCTCTTTGACGATTTTCGTCTCTGCTCTCGTTATTCAGTGTCCATGTTCAAATTTATACTTTGCTTAAAGGATATAGAAGGTTTGTAAGCGATATTTGGCATAGAGTGAGAAGAGGACAATGTTCAATTAGTATCGCGCTTACGAAACTAAATTTAAACATCCACGCCCTCTCTGCTAAATTTGTGCACACTGCCATGGCGGCCTTAAAAAATTGGATCATTTGCCGCAGAATCTCACGGTTTTACAGACTCCTCTAAGAGAAAGTTACGCTGCAAATGTGAAGAAAGGGAAAGTCATTTTTCAGACGAAAGAATCGCTGCAAGAAACAACTAGCTTTATAATAGGTTCCAGCACCGTCCGCAAAGAGACCGAGAGTAAAAGGCGGACACTGCGCTTGGCCAGAGTCCATGGAAATAGTGCACCTGGTCCTCCACGAGAGCTTCAACGGGCTGCACAATAAATATAGAGAACAGAGAGGCGATCCACCACTAGCACGGTTGATATATTAGAGACAGCCAGCGAATAACGAAACAGAGACATTGTTACCTTCGAAAAACATATCTATGGCTTTCTGCTGTTCTTGAAAGTTCTCTATCCCCAAAGTCGCGCACACTTGCTGTCGTCCGTAAAGTTGTACGTGGGGCACTCGTTCACTATCTTGTTCGTTAGACTCCAACTCTAGCCAATCAGAATTCACGGTTAACTAGTATAAGTCTTTTTACATTTTCACGTTAAAGAGTGACGTCAGATAACACGATTCGTGTCAGGTTTACCGGTATATGTTCCCTCCCTTCCATTTCTTCATGGGGGGAGGGTTGGGCATATAGACTATATAAGCTCAGCTTCGTGTTTTGCACTCATCAATCAATCAATCAAATCCTTTATTTTGAAACGATAATTGTTAAAGCTATAAAGTTTTTGGGGTACTCTGATAGAACACGCTGTTTCAATCAACGACGACGCGCGTTATATCCGAACTTTATCATAAATTCGATCAATCTCCTCGTTTAAAGATTATCATATAAAGGAAAAGATTTTTGCCAACCATGTTTCTAAGCTGTAAATCCTAAAGTTTCAGCCTAGCCAAACGTGAATGTCATTTAGAACTGCTCAGAAATCTTTGCTCGGAAATGAATGGGATTAATAAGTTGTCAATGCCAAAATGAAATTCATCCAAAAATTTGAGAGGGAAATGTAATTCAGCAACTCATTGAATTTGATTTAATCTTAGTAATTGTGAGATCCACCAGAGTGAAGCCTGTTAGTGTAAAATAATGTATGATAGACAGTTCAAAGTTACCAACTGTACAGTATCGCAGGATATTTGTACTCTAATCGCGTGTCATTTGTACTCTACTTTGTGCAGTTGGATTATAATTTTATGCTATATTGATCTTATGTTAAAATATCATTAAATCTAAATAGAATGATTCTTTACAGTGTAATTTTTGACCCGTGGATACGCGATAGCGTACAGAGGAGTTGTTGTGGGCACTTTGGGATATGCAACTTGGCGTGGACTCTTCGTAATTAGTCGTAATTAGTCGGCTCTGAACTCGAGATCTATCCTTCCAAAGAAACCCGAAGTCCTGGCGCCATTGTGATTGCATAGATCGATGGTTATTGTCTGACACAGCTGTTTCGACATTCACTAAATTGAAGTGGACTTCGAATGTTTCAGATTAGTGCTATGATCAACTTAAAGACCAAATTGGAAGAGTCTTCGAATCGTTCATGCGCTAAACATAACGAGAAGCAGCTACGCCAATTTCGGTCTTTTCGTTATGCTCGTTTCGTTTTGTTGTTTTTCTTTGCAAACGTGACTGTTATGATGGTAAGAATGAAATATGATCGGTTCTAAAAGTCGTTGTAGAGAACATGACCATAATCTGGCCGGTGTTGTTTTGATCACTTGACGATCTTTTTCGCTCTCAAAACACACGACGACTACCTATTTCAAGGAATGCTTTTCCAATTAATTTCTATCGCA